AAAAACCACAATTTTTTTTGTCTCAGATTGCCGTATTTCAGGTGTCGTCCGACAATGGTTTTTGAAATAGGTGTATAGGAGTAGATAAGGATTATTATAGACACATCACATTATCAGTTAATCTTACCAATGCAGTATGCTAATAATCTACCCAGCATTTCCTGGCATTCAGGAGGCTTTCTAAAAAACAGTTTCATCATTGCTGTTAGGAGCTGTAGCTTTATCTCTGAAGACTGTTCTTCTTCTATGCTATCCACTAGTGACTCTAAAATGTAGGGGCTTTCTGGAATACTCTGTGAATCGAGATAGTACAATATAGTAATAAAGCATCTAGGCATTTATCACTTTATGAGAAAGTTTGTGTACCAGACCAAAGGAGGAAGAGTATAGTAATGGTGTAGCATTCCCCCCCCCCCCTTTCCCCTTAGATATGGTGATGTATCTTTTGATACTTTCTGAATCAATGAAACTTCGCAAGAGTATAAGATTTAGGACCATGGAATATTAATGGCATTGAGAATGGATTGAGGATAAGGAAGAGGTATAACAGTGGAGTCAGGGAACAGTATTAATGTTATACCAGAATATAAGATGGATTTGATACTCTGCACACAGTATGGGATTGACGTTACTCTGGAAATGGGAAATATAAAGAAAACTTCATTGATAGGTTTTTGAGAAACCATTTTCAATAACGTTTGGGTTGGGATCCTCTTTCTGAACAGTATAGGAGTTTCTGTTACTCTGTAATGTAATGTCTTTTTATCCTTGGCAAGGGAGTGCCAAGCACTAGCTAAACCTCTCACCTGCCCATACTCTCCCAGCATCCATATTATTGCAGCTTTACCCTTTGGATCCTGAACAAGATCAATACATTCCTTCAGCTGTGGCAGCACTGCTATGGCATATTTTTCATAGTGTGGTAGAAGATCTGAAAAGCAATACAAAATATTTACAATGGATCTCATTGGGTGCAATGTTATCCCATTTCAGACCATGTCTCATCCTCGTGAGAATAAGAAACTTTGTTTGAGTTGTATTAATGTACTCAAACTAATGGAATGACGTTTGGTCTCAGATGGGGAAAAAATTACATAAAAGTATGATACAAACTCCATTTGTTCATCCATTCATCCATTTATCATACATTCATACATTCACTCATCCATCCATTCATGATTCATTCATTTGTTAACCTATCTATCTATTCATTCATTCATCCATCATTTTATAAATCATTCATTCAATTAATTTGTTAATCCATCCATTCATTCATCTGTTCATCCATCCATTTGTTTATCCATTCATTCATTCAATTGTTCTTTCATCTATCTATCCATCCATCATCCATTCATTTGTTCTTCCATCCATGCATTCATCTGTTCATCCATCCATTTGTTTATCCATCCATCCATCCATTCATTCATTCAATCGTTCTTCCATCTATCTATCCATTCATCATCTATTCATCCATCTATTCGTCTGTTCATCCATCCATCATCCATTCATTTGTTCATCCGTCTAACCATTCATCCCCTTTTTTATCTTCCATTGATAAATATCAGAAAACGATATATTAAATAGCTGTAATAATACTACTAACCTCTAATRACTATTAGTGTCTGTGATGTAATGCTCTCTGTCTCCCGTGACAGATAGCTCAGTAGTGTGTCTACACAATACTCTGCTGCCTTGGGAAGAGCAAAGGCAATCTTTCCAATGGCTTTAATACATTCTTGTGAAAGTTCCACATCTATGTCATGCACAAGTTCACTATAAAACAATGAATATAAATTTAGCAAAGTGGTTTTGAAAGTAGCTCTTCAACCAATGAATAGATTTGCCATCCCACCACTTCTAGTAAGCAATATAACAAAAACGTAATGGATAACCAAAGAACATCTCTCATGAAAGTGCTTTTCTAAGGGGTCCCAAGAAATCCCACCTCTTGAAATCACTGTAGGAGGGGAATGGGTATGCTGTGGTTTCTTGATAGGAAATGCACCCTACTTCATGTATGTGAAGGTCTTCAACGTACTCCTTCTCCTTCTATATAGGGCTATTTGAGGGCTACCTCATTTCAGTGACGATTTCTTCCACATTTGATTCTGATGCTATTGTTGTGAGAATCTGAACTTTCTTTTGTCTCAGAAACAAAGGATCATTAAACCTATGAGAAAAAAGGAATTATAAATATTCAGGACTGTGGCAAGGTGATACATACAGTATACCAGCTAGGAACGTTAAATGAGAGAGGTTATAGTAAAAATCACTAAAATTTACCGGACAAATGTCTGGTGTCCAGAGCAATTTGCACCACAAAGAGTAACTTAATTTATGAAATTAATACAGGTCTGGATAGAAAACAATTCATGTTGGGAAATACAAATAACTATGAAATTAGAAAAAGTTTCTTTCAGAATTTACCTTAGGAAGAAAGTTTTGTATTCACTTTCAAAGAGGCTAGGACACTTAGCAAGCAACAGTTCCAGGTGGCTGATTGCAGTATAGATAGTTTCATAGTTTGTAGATGACATCATTGAGATGAGAGGACCTACCAAATTCAGAACAACTTTATTTGAAAATCAGATTTTTTAAGTTCAAAATCATCTAGACGTCCAATAAATGTCAATTTTTTTGTGATAAAAATTCTGGTCAGGCTAATGGGATGTGATGGCGCTATACCTCATCATATAGTTAATGTGAAAGTGACATTAATATTCCATTAATATGTTATAATAATTAACTAATAAAAATACACATACAATTAAAGCAAGCATAGCGCATTAATGTATATAATATATAATTAATATATACATACCTTTGACTCGCAGCAGAACATCGTTTTGTAACTCCTGATTATCTTTTGAAAGGTGTAAAAACAACTTGATGGTTGCCATGACAACTGCTCCATTGGGATGCTTTAGCCGAGCATCAATAAGATTCTATTCAAAAAAAATGTGTTAGGTTAACTTGTGCTTTGCTATTACAAAGATGTATGGATGGAAGGATGAAGGATAGAAGGATAGAAGGAACAAGCCTATATCGCTTCGAAAGCGATGATGTTTCGGCCCGTTATCTATTTATTGTGTGGCATTGCTGAATAAAGAATTTTGGTCTTGCTGTGGTAATGGGGTCTYCTGTATTTTGAAAATAATACACAAGAGCGATCTCGTGGTACGCTTCCACGCTGCAAAGTCTTACGAAAATTTCGATGTATACATTTGTTATAAAATTCTCTTGAACGAAACACATCGTAATTAAGTTTTTTTTGAGATTTTAGTGGTTCTTGCTTTGAAACATCGGGAAAACAGGGCAACATACATACATATAACGTCTTGCCGAACGAATGAAAGATCCGACAATAGATATAAACAATGATTGAGTATCGCAGAGAGCAGAGTACAAAATGCAAAATATTTTGGCACATGAGCATTACTGTACGCACCATGTTGAATGTAGGATACTTTTTAAACCTTCATTCTGCTCTTTGACATTTATGGTAAATGTATTTAGCTCTAATATCGTAGCTTGAAGAAAATGCGAAAGTCTCAATTCGAACGAAAAGATACAAAGCTTGTCTTTGACCAGTGCGCCGTCACCAATCTACTCAAAATTTA